GCGGACGGAGTCGCGGGCGACAGCTAGTTTACATTAAAGTGTCGATAAACCCATTGAGGGTTTGTCCAGACACTTTGGTACTACGCTATGAAATGAAACAGTAGGAAAGTTTAATTTTGTTTTGTTTACAGCAAATTAGTGAGCTCGCTCGTACCGTCATATACAGGGTGCACAAACACGATATAATTTTATTAGACTCAGTAAAATCTTAAATCGTTTATTTTTTTTTAATAGTAGTCGTATTGTTCTTGTTTTAAAACGATCTGTGATACAGATATGACAATGACCGTTGGTAAACTTAGTTCATAATCGAACGAGGTATATCTGTAGACAAATTGGAAATGGAAATAATCGGTTAAACTTTTCTTTCATCGAATTATTATGTTGTGTTTCATGATGTTAATTTTTAATTATATTTTACTCTATATCCGCATAATTATGTTATTTATTGGGCAATTAATAACATGCGTTAAAAGGTTATTTATCGACAAAATTACCAGTTAAAAACGTTGAATAGACTTGAAAATAATCCGGGGCCATTTCCGTTCGTACCGTCAAAGCCTTTGCTAGTTGCCTTCGTTAACTTGAAACTGACCTATTGACGTAATTAAAGTTGGCTTTAAAAGCTTTAAGAGCTTTTCAATTCAAAACTCTTTACGTAACAAGCTCGTTATAAGTACTTTTGGTGGATGAAATTATATTTTAAAAAGTTTTATTTAAATAGATCGGAGAGATACATAAAATGGATAACAAAGTCAGTTGAAAGATAGATAGAAAGTACAGACAGACAAAAAGTGATATTCAATATTTATTTAGGTAAAGTAAAATTATTGACTTCATTAAATACTATTTTTATCGTTGTCTTGATTATTATTTGTTCGTTTTTTTCATCCACCGCATCAATTTGTAAATTGAAATCACTTTGGCAACAGGCCTAATCGGTTGCGAATTTGCCAAAACGATCTAAGATGTACAGCATTGCAGCGGACAGCATACTCTGTTGCAACACAAAACATTTTATGTTGAAACTGATAGCTCAAATACCAAAGAAAAACAATGATAATATAAAGCGTCAAAAATTTAAGCGTCAATAGCCTAATGGTTAAGGGTACGAATTTCCTATCACGAGGTCGGGGTTCGAATCCCGCCATTCGACTTTTGTCACAAACCATATCCTAACACAACCCAAGAGCTTATTTGGAATGGTAAAAGAAATATTAGGAAATCAAAAAAAAGTTTGGCTTTCGATTACATTGTCCATACTCTGATAAAATATTCTTTACCACAGAAACTCCGTTAGCTAGCTTATAAAAAATTGATCGTATTAAGAGTCTAAATGATGAGGTTGATTGGAAATCTGCAATTCTAAGCCAAAGTCGAAGTGGCCTAGACGAAAGTAGAAATTCTAATTTACATAAGGAATTTGGTAACAGTGTTATACATGCTATGTTCTTCAATAGAACCGTATTTATATTATGTAAAGAGCTAGTCATAGTCGTTGAAGTAACGTAAAGTTCAATTGTGCGCGGAAAATCATCGGCCTGAGAGAAATTAATGCGTCGCGCACTAGACTGTGATGCTTTGAAGTCTTAAGCACAAATAGACAGGTACAACATGACCATTATTTAATGATTTCCATTGTGGTTTATTCTATAACTATGATAAATTTTGATAGCTATATCATCTATGTATCACAAGACTTGAAATTTTTTTTTCGATCTGAAATCGATCTTAGTAACAAGTCATGTCCACCGTCAGGCAAAGTTCGTGCTAGGGTTAAAACGTGTCTGTAACTTTTTTAAGCCTTCATGTTAATTGGTGTATACAATGTTAGTGATAAACGCGTAATAGAGTGGAAGCAGACACTGCGCGTTATCAAGCCGCATCAAAATGATAAAGTTTTTAAACACATCCCATGCTACTACAATTTTTGCACATAGTGAACTCGAAAGAAGAGTCGGTGGCACTGAACGTGTTAAAACGTCTTTGAATTACTTAGCAATTGTAACACAAAGTTCCACAATAAGATCAACTCTCTTCAAAAACCCTAGTTCTTTTCATATTCCATAGTAAACTAGCTGTCGCCCGCGACTCCGTCCGCGCGTGATTATAAAATAGATGTTAGCCGATTCTCAGACCTACTCAATATGCTCACAAAATTTCATGAGAATCGGTCAAGCCGTTTCGGAGGAGTATGGGAACGAAAATTGTGACACGATAATTTTATATATAAGATTATTAAACAAACATAAAGATGAAAAATATTTCATCATATTACATTGTAGATAAAATCTATTTGTACTGAGCTTTGTGTGTGGAATATAAACGAATAACATTTGCAGGAGAAACACCTGTGAAAAAGTCAAAGAGTGACGACAGATCTAATAAATGGGAAACTCTCTGTTATTCTTTGGTCTGAGGCACAAGCGACGATATTCAATAAACATCAAAGATTAAAAAATATATATAACATAGGTAATTAAGTTACTAAAGTTACAAATTATTATTTTTTTATAACAGAAGGGGGCAAACGAGCAGCGGGAACACCGAGGTGTTCAACGACGCCCATGGACATCAGCAATACCAGAGGAACCGCAGATGCGTTGCCGGCCTTTTTAGATTTCATTTAAAATAATCTCGTAAGAATTAGTATGCATTATTAGTAGTAAAAATTATTTGTGACTAATTTGTTACAATGCGCCAAATGGTAATTGGTATTGTAAAATTTGCCAAAACTATAAACAGTTACGACTCTATCACACTCACAATCTTTTACTGGATACTTAATTATGCTTTTATGTAGATTACTCTTACTAGACCCAGGTTGCGAGACTCACTTGGTAATCATCAAACAACTCTTGCCGTTTGTGTTTCGGAATAAAAGATAAATATGTTTTAAATGGAGACTTTGGCCTCAGAAACCCCACAGTTTATCATCATCAGCTCACTATACGTCCCCAACGAGGGGCTCGGAGCCTACCCTTAATCAAGGGTGACTAGGCCATCAACCACGCAGGCCAAGTGCGGGTTGGTTGACTTCACACATATCTTTGAATTTCTTTTTAGATATGTGCAGGTTGCATCATGATGTTTTCCTTCACCGTAAGAACTTCTAATAAATGTACATATGTAATTGAGAAATAGAAAAAACACATTGGTATATGGCGGGATTCGAACCAAGAACCTGCAGATTACAAGTCAAGTGCTTGACCCCTGAGCCACCGATCGAAACGGACGTAATTTATTTTTTATATTTACTTATCCTCTACCGCCTATGCCTTAGACAAGGGACTAACACATCAAAGCCGCATCCGTCATACGCAACACGTCTCGTTTGGAATCAAAGTCGCGTGAAATAAGTATAAATAATGTGAAGAATATATTACTACGAGTATACAGACGCGTTAGTAAATGAATGCTTCTTTCTTGTTTCCCTATCATTTTGAGGATAACATTAAGAAAAGATAGTAAACGATTAAGTATTATAATTGGCAATTGATAATGTGTGAGAAAAGTATCATCTTGGGGCTAATTTTTTTTATATTATTTGGTGGCAAGCGGCCATTTAAATTCATCGAAATGGAGACGCAACCTCTGTCTGTTGTTTATCTTTACATTCGACTGAGAAGGAGACGCACGGAAGGAGAATATTTCCCCTTTTATTCGTCAATAAATTGGGGGATGGAAAGAAGTAGCACTGAATCTTAGAACCCGATGTAATGACATCTCAGAAGATCTCTTCGTTTCAAACCTTTCGTACACCTCGTAACTGTTGATGTCCTGGTACTTTCACAAACGCAATAACATGAAGTTTCTTGTTAATTAAATAATATCAATATAACTTTTTATCAATCATACTTTCTAACGGAAAACATTTTTTTCATTTACATAAAGATTGAATGTTAGCCCAGTTATTGTTGCCGTCATGAATTCATTAATCATTGTTACAGCCGTTGTTTTTTATATAAAAATGCTGATATTTTGGATACAATGAAAAACAAACAAAGCGTCGTATCTGAATGTATGTAAATTAAACAAACAATCATTCTCTTATTTATTTGAACTTTATTGACACATCGAAAATAACACGGGACAGACTTAATGATGACTGACGTTTTTCTTTATCAAATAATGTAAAGAAAAAATTATAAAATATTCTGAGCCAAATTCAACTTTAAATTATATTGTAAAGTAAATATTACAGTCTATCACCTCTCCTTTAAATGTTCATATTTTACAAGTCATTCAAAATTATGACGCCTGCAAAATTATATGAGCTATTTTATGACGAAATTTTTTTAAACTATTAAATAACAAAAGGCGTTTTGCCAATAATGTGCCTTTGTTTTATTTTATTTTAAGTCCCTATCATCTGAAATCATAAATTTATACAACCTTCAGCTTAAATAATTTAAGCTTTAGGGAAATTCTAAAATTCAGTGGCTTAACATAAGATATAATCCCCTGAGACTACATGAAATGCTTTCTCCTTTAAAGCATCAGGGAAAGATGCTTTGGACCATCATGGCTAAAAGCGCTAAGCTTCCAAGGAAAATTTATATGGATACTGACTTAAGTTACAACGCGATAACTCGATGTGACAAAATTCAGCAATTAAGAAGGAAATGAAGGAATAGCTTGTGAAGCGTTTTACTGATACGTAATAACACGTATGCCCTGGTTTGGCAGGTGTTGCATGCTTCGCGCAAAATACGCACTAGAAGTGGAGTTACGTAAACCATAGCATCTATTACTATTTAAATGTGCACTAAGAACGACCCTTGACACAATTTAATATAAAAATATAAGATGGTACGCGATAGTTATTTTAATTTAAATGACCATAACAAACACTTAGTGCACATTAAAAGATAACAGAAACAACGCGTGTAATAAACAACAATGTTCTATAAAGATTGTAAATATTTTTAATAATCGGTACGTTTAGACCTCGGAATTATCGCAATTAGATAAAAAGGTTACAACGTCGACCTCCCAAATTTATTAAAGTAATTAAAGTGAGACATACAACACGTGACTTTGCACAACTTTGATTTTAGTTTGAAACATTCGAATTCAACCATTTTGTGAATAATTAAAATGTGGTTAAAGTTACTACTACTGTCGATTCTCTGCTGCAATTCCATAGTAAGTTTTGTTTTCTCTTTATTCGTAAAAACTATTGTTACTAAAAAAGTTATAAAAAAAACACGATTTTAAATCAATTTCCCTCCGCCACTTAAAAGGGATTCCAATGGAGATATTCCTTCAACAATTGTTATTTAAGTAAAGAATTCTTTTGTGTGTAAATCTTGATAACAGTTCGAGTAATAATATTCGAAAATTAGAGCCAAAGTTTAATGCCCGCAACTAATTTGCTAGATAATGTTTAATATTTTATTGTAAACAGGCTGTAAATTCAAAAACAAATATACACGAACTTCAAAGGGTTTTGTGATATTGTTTCCTCGTAGTCACTTGTAGGAATGACTATGATTATGTACTATAAGAGTATTTTTGTAGAGACATTTGTCTACTTTCCATCATTTTCTTATGAGGAATTCGACGAGAAGATGAAGTTCATTATTCGGGATGTAGTTATATAGGACTGTACAAATATCCTCTTTTAATCAGCTTAAAAATAAATTTACAATTCAATGGTAATTAAAACATTAAGTTTATATGTTCTAGTTAACAACATCCATCGATGTCGGTGGAGTGTTGTCAGGTAATCGCATGGCGGGCGTGCCTTTGGGCCGGTCGCTAGGCGACGGCGAGCTGGATGTGGAAGGCATATGCGCGGAGGCAGGCATGGCGTGCCAGAACTGCACCCATGCAGTAACATGTGTCCCACTACCGTATGGCTACTTGAAGGTACCCACCAATACCCTAATATTCATTTCTAGAGATATGAAGTAAACTATTAAGTATAAGATTCACTAACTTACATAACCTTAATTGTGTTATTTTCCATAGAATACGTACTTGAGGCACTAATAACTTCCTTGGTGACCTTCGAAAGATTTTTACATCCCCTGAGGCATTTCTTTACTGACATAGATTCATTTTGCAATTTATTTATGACTATAACATATTTTAGGTTCCCCTTCAAGTGTGCTCAAACGGACAGACATGCAATGCACACAAAGGAGGTTGTTCTGAGAAGGCGGTGCCTGAGTGTCAACCCGCAACACAGAAGCACAAACATTCCTGTGAACAGGTTACTATATCTCTTTTAAATACATAATATCTTACTAATATTATAAACTAGCTGTCGCCCGCGACTCCGTCCGCGTGGATATATAAAAAATTATATATAGATAGGTTAAATAAAAAGCAGCTCTTCAAGGCATTTATTCGAAAAAAATGAATAAATAGTATCCTATGTCTGTCTCCTGGCTCTAAGCTACCTCCTCACCAATTTTCAGCCATATCGGTAAAGCCATTCTTGAGTTATAAATAGTATAACTAACACGACTTTCTTTTATATAAATAAATGCGAATGTGTTGATGTAAGGTATGGATAGATTGCTATTTTGTTAAAAAGTATTTCCAGAATGGATGGATCGATGAAATTTGGTATAGATGTAGAACATATCCCAAAAATGTGTACGGTTCCCGTGGGAAGGTTATGATTTACATATTTACTCGATAACTCCGGAACGGTTCAACACATCTTATTAAAAGGATCAGATATAGAACATAGTCTCGAATAATACATGAGACACTGTTTAGTTTTTTTTATATATACTACGCAGTCGAAGTCGCAGGCAAAAGCTTATACAATAATAAAACTGTTTTACGTATTCATTGGAATAATCTTACTATTATAATATTATAAATCCAAATGAATGGATGGATGGATGTTTGTTTGGAAGGAATGTCCGGAACGGCTGTATGGATTTCGCTAAAATTTGGCGTGACGTAAAACATAGTCTGGAAGAACACATAGGTTACTAAGTTTTTTTTAATTCCGCGCGGGTGGAGTCGCGGGCGACAGCTAGTACTATTATAAAACTAGTCAAAACTAAGAACTTATAATTTGCGCTACAAACGTTTTTAAAATAAGCTAAATAAATGTTTTGCATTAAAATAATTTGCGGATGTTGTTTTCTTTGTAAGTATATTTTTTAATCAGTTCAAGGGAATGTCAAAGCGGAAATATCAGCGTTATTCTTTGAAATATCTTATTGATTGTGCCAAAATTCGCCTTGAACTTTTATGAAAGATTAAATCTGCACAGAGCTATTGCGATTTAATATATCGCTTCGTAAACATTTATTTAGGTTAAGTTTTATTGCAGAAAATAATGTAAAAGTGATATAATTTGCGTAAATACTTCTGTTAAATGTCATAAACAAGGAAGCTAAAAGCCGTCGAATGTTTTTCGAATTAACTGGTTTTAAAAAATAAAACACATTTGTTATTTTGATTGCACAAAAGTGTTTACTAGTCTCTCTCTTTCTCTCTCTATCTTCATGTATGCATCGTTTCCTTACTCCTGAGGTTTGCGACCTATCTTCTTGACTATTTCACGTTGGATGTTTCTGCACTCTATGTGGTTCCCAGCGATGTGGATGACGTTATGCATAGAAGCATCGAGCTTGGTAAATTAAATCCATTGTCGATTTTTCTTTAATTTTAAAAATCGGCTTTAGTCCTTACCACCGATACTTTGGAAAATAAAATATTTTTTAATAGTCATTCCGTCCATTATGAGGCTAAGAAAGAAACTTTCTCAATCTATCAACACGAAGCAACGCTTCACTGATTGCTTCCCTCGAGGTTGAATGGATAGCGCTGACTTTTGTTAAAATCAATCCACCAAAGGCGTAAGTCTGTTATTGATGATTATACCGAATTAAACTATTACAAATAGATAAATTAGTAGTACTTAAATATGATAAATTGGTCTAAATAATCTTGTATTTACGAACAACATAGATTAAAAAAATATCTATTGATTATAATTTTTATTTCCCGAGTCTATCCGCGCGGAATTAAAAAAAATTACTGAACTATGTGTTCTTCCAGATCATGTTCTGGGTACATCTATGCCAAATTTCATCGAGATCCATTTAGCAGTCCTGGAGAAAACTTCTAACAAACATCCATCCATACAAGATTTTTGGATTAATTTATTCCGTTAAAATTACTCCTAAAGTAAGTAAATCATATAGTAATAAACCGTTTCTTTTAAATTAAAATATGCATAGTAATTTTTTCTGGTATTCAGGTGGGAATCTTCCCGGACGCGTTTGACTGCCGCAAGTTCCACCTCTGCTCACCTGCTGAGGGTCTTCCTGATGGTAGACCAGCGGACCACAGAGCAGCATTGTGTCCAAGACACTACGGATATAATCCCCAGTACGCACAGTGTTCGGTAAGTGGTAATAAAATGCTATGTACTCGTATGTTTAAAAATTTGTATGAAAAGAAAAGTAATTTATTTATTTAGTTATTGTTGTTTACATTGTTTAATTAACTTTACTACATTTAAATTGATACAAGAATACGTATTATATTTATTGTTTAAAAATGTCTTTAAATTAAAAACTAAAAAATATTTTTTTTAATTTAAAAAAAAAATACTTAACAAACCATGTTCCACATAAATAAAGGTGCGAGAAAATTGTTTCCGTAAAGGTGGAATGTTAAGGAAAACACAAAATATCCCAAAGGGATGCTCCACGCTCTATTTTGGGGTCCACTTCTAAGATAAGAAAAGAATAGCCTCGAGCGAAGTAATAAATTATGACTGTAGCCTGAATTGGGGACATAAAAAGCTAATTTGAAAAGCCGATGTCGAGAAATCTGTTTTATAAATTATATAAACTTGCCAAATTGAATAACCATTAAGATAAATATACACTAGAGCGTTTTCTCGAGCATTTCTACGTAATGTAACGTTCTTACGAATGGCATAAGTAAAATCAATTTCCAAAGCACGTGATGTTCGTGAAAGGGTGACGATACACTTGAACATATCATGTTCTTTTACAATTAAATGCTCTAGTCTATACTCACCTTTAGAGTAGAGTCATTTTTATATTCGCTACAATTAATTAAAAATACAAACGAAATAAATATATAATAAAATAAAATGATTTCATACTATTCTTTACTTTCAGATTCGACTATTGAACGGACAATGCAGTGATAAGCCTGTACCAGATTGTAAATCAGTGGGAGAAACTGGACCTTTACCAAAAAGTCCTAACCATTACTATGTCTGCCTTCTCAAACGAGGAACTTTACATCCACAAGTATTCATCTGTCCACATGGTTGGTACTTTTGGGATGGATTCTGCAGACCTGAACCACAAGAAACTGTATCAACAGACGATAAAGTAACTACAGAAAACGCAAAGATAGATAATGGATTTGTAGCGGAGACAACTACAGTGAAACCTACAACTAGTAAGATTGAAGGATTCTTTTCAACAGAGAAAGCGGCTACTTACGCTGCTGATACGTTCTTAGCAGACAGATTTGATTTGAGTAACTATGAAACAACTGACGATGTTGTTCCACAAAACGATTATGCTAATTCCTTTGAAAGTGGTACTGATTTTTGGTAACATATCATATAATAATATAAACATATTAAAGGTAATAATGATACATTAAATAGAAGTTAATCTAATTGTAATAGTTATATAGAAATAGCTTTAAATGTTATTACATGAAATGAATTAAAGAAATAAAGATTGTTTTAATGCATCCCGAAAGTTTATAATAATTAAATATAAATGAGATGATGAAAAATGTTGACATTAAATTTTTTGTATCAGAAGATGGCAAACGAGCGAGCGGCTACCTGAAATCGCTGAAATAGCGAAGTGACCGTTGCCCATAGACATACGCAATTGCATATGCGTTGCCTACCTTTAATCGACGGATGAGAGGATGCACAGAAAGAACATATTTTCCCTTTCCATGCATCCTCTCATCCGGAAAGTCCACTTCCACTTCCCATCCATTCCTTTTAATATAAAGTGTGGGAAGGGAAAGAGGACTAAATAAGGCCTCCGGGACGCACACTCATCAGACGAAACGCGAAATTGCTTCCACTTCACGGCTGTTTTCTATGTGGTCGTGGTATTTCACCGGGCGAGCCGGGCCAATTCGTGCGATGTTAAAGCCGGCTCTACCACTGTTAACATTTATAAAACTGAAAGAGTTGCTGCAAATATAGAATCGAAAAGTAACAAAGTACCTTAAAGGAAACATACAGACAAAAATACAAACAATTTCTAATCTGAAATTCCATTAAGCGTTCTTCATGCTTCGAACAACTGATAAGTCCTGCAAACTCTCTCTAAAAGGTTTTTGTCTAACAGAATTTCCTTTGGTGCTAGTAATCTTTTCAAAACGCTGACATTTTCTTCACTCCACCCCTTTAAGATGGAGCGTGCAGATAGCGTGGCACTTACAAAACGTCACGTCATTATCACGATACGAGTACTAAACGAAATTCGTACCGTGGCGAGGTCTCACGTCCAAAACAATCGCCTATCGCACAATTCACCAAACATTTTGTACAAACACAGGACAAATAAACATATTTCCATGATAAAATACATAAGAAACAATAATTAATCATCTTTCCCCATGTATATGTCAAAACTTAAAGACAAACAATCACTTTGAATCAAAAAAAGAAAAGAAACTTACAAAAATTAATCTCATATATAAAATTCTCGTGTCACAATTTTCGTTCCCACACTCCTCCGAAACATCTATTCTTAATCCCGCCCGAACGGAGTCGCGGGCGACAGCTAGTATGATTAATAAAAGTAATAATATCTCCTCCTATATCTATCAGTTGAACAATCTCAAATTATTTAAAATATTATAAGGTGAATTCTGTGCAAATATACACAAAAAAGCTAAAAATTTAGTCAAGCAAATCTTTGAAGAAAAGTGGCGGTCTACAACACATGACTACAAAACTAGAGGTCTGCTGCTAGAATTTCATCAATAACACTATAACGGACATGTCCAGGTAATTGAAGCATTCCTGGCGATCCTAGCTAACGTCGTTCCGCTAGACCTTTGTCCTGAGGTACAAAGGCCTATCTCCGCGATCTTCCCGAGCCTCAGACTTCGGCTACAAGTGTTATTAACCAACATGTTTCGCTAGCCCGCGCCACAAGCTCTTCACCGTTTGTATATTTTTTTATATGTTACTAATAATATAAATACACAGTTTAGGTGGATGGATGGACGTTTTTTTGAAAGTTATCCGTAACGGCACAACGGATCTTTATCAAATTTGGCAATGATGAACATAGTCTGGTAGAACACATAAGCTACTTTTTAAGTTTTTTTTTAATTCCGCGCGGATGGAGTTGCTGGTGACAGATAGTACATAATATATTCATGTATGTACATATATGATTTGGAAATATGAAACGATTACTTCTTACATAAATCTTTTGTTTTTTTAAAGTGTACAAATATAAAAATATCTAAGACGAAAAAAATAAGTTTTTTTTTCGTCTTGATCTGTTTTTTGCACCTTCATTTTCTACGGCTGTCCGCTGTCATCCCGGCAGCTGAACGTTCGAAAATGAAATTTAAATTCCGAATGTCAAAAAGATTTTCTTCATTTCAATTTTAATGGCTTTGTTTTGTTACAATTGTTATTTTTAAGAAAGAATTGTCATTTGTTTTTTATCGTTTCGATTATTATAGTTAATTTTTTTTGTAATTATATTCTTGCAATGAATATTGTAAAAGGCTTTTTTAAACAACAGTGTTGTCGTATCTTACAAAAATAACTCAACAAGGCCATCCGATAAAAGTAAGTATAACATTTTTGTACACAAAAAAAAAACAAAGCTCTGTTATCATACCGAATATTTCTACGAAAAACATTTTCGTTACAATTTGCAGAAGAAAATTTGCAAATTTTTTCGCATATTATCTGTGTTCTGCGGTTGACGTGCTTTTTATTTTGGAGAGAGTCCAAAAGTAATTCGGGTCCCTCTACAATATGCGCATTTTATTACGCGGTGTGCGGTCATTAAGGCTCGCGGTTTTCGGGGCCCTACTTGCAGCGGGTGTTGAAAATATATAATACTTTAAACTCGATATAACATCAAGGACCGAGTATTTTGCGACGTAACATAGAGTGGACGTTATAATATGTAACATTTACTATTCGAACACAATATGGTTCTACTCTGAACATATACTAAATTATTAATTATACACTTAGACATAGAAAAATATCCAAGGTTTCTTTAAAAATAATTTGCTAAAAATGAAAAAATAATATATATTTCATTTAACTTAAGTTACTATTATACATTGCAGAAATAGAACGTGGATTTTTAAATTTTTTCACGTCTTACATTAACTAATTTTGTCAGGCCAAAAAATTTTTCCTAACCTAATTTTTTTTTACCACTAACAAGTCTTCTAAGGACTTAAGTTAGTATAACTAACATTTAAATAACACTAAATAACATAGCCATAGCAATTACTTGATAGCAATAAATCAGTACGTCTGCTAAATACCATAAATCGAAGCTCTCGCAAATTCCCAGCCAACATCAGCTGTAGAGCATTAAACATGTTACGAGGATAAGCACTTAAATACTAAGCGTGTCTACCTAAGATTAATAGTGCTTTGCCATACTACAGTTATATCGCGAATCATCTTTAATCAAATGTAATATTACTTTTATAAGTCCGAATGTTTGAATTATATTTTGTACCACGTAACTCCAGAACGTGACTAAAATGTGTAAAATATATCGTCGTCCTAACTATAATTTTTTAATGGGTCTCAAAAAAATTTAGTCTCAGAAATCCATTGTAAGCCGAGGGAATAGTTTGTTTTATCATAACACTAGCTGTCGCCCGCGAGTCCTTCCGAATGGTGTTAAATAACTTGATTAATGGCCTATGTGTTCTTCTTAAGTCTAAAGTTAACATCTAAAATCTAGACTATAGTCTACATCTATGACAAATTTCAGCAAATTATCCATCCATCCATGTAAACTTTTGCATTTATAGATAACATTGTTATTGCGAATGTTTGTATGGATGTTTGTTACCAATGATGAAAACGGCTATATGCTACAGTACTTTCCATTCAAGAAAAAAAATCAATTATTGGATAGATTGTTTTTTGTTTTTAACTCAATAATTCCACGACCAATAGACTCATTTTTTTTATTTCTCGCAGACGAAGCTGGCAATAACAGCTAGTATACAATAAAATTGTCATGAATCATTTTGTATGTAATTTTGATGAACGTAGGTGGAAATCTAATAGCACGTCTGTGCGGATCATTAATATGTCTACATTGTCTTTTTATATGACCCTATTTTTTACAGCGATGGAATTAGTAGAGGCAGCACAATAGTGTGTATAAGACGTATGAAAAGTAAAATCTTGTAAATGAAAAAATCTAAGGAAAGTACAGGATAACTTTTGGATAAACTGTAATCGTGAATAACCTATTTAAATAACAAACGTAACTACTCGATTAGTTAATCTATGTATGAGATGGTAATTAGCACTATTGAATATTAAACCAAAAGTTAATCATCAATCATATTGTGTCTGGAAACTATTGATTAAGACAGAATCATTACCATTGGGTTTAAATTAAATAAATACAATCACTAAAAAACCAAATTCACTGAATATTTTATCTGAAAAGTACGAAATTACGTGAGGTGCGTCTGGACTGCGCCAAATGAAGGCCGTGATCTCTACCCCACTAGTTATGTTGTGGACGAATTTATTTATTTGACTTTGTTTACGTCCTTTTAACGCTACATATAATAATTATTTGTTTTAGGCACCAAAGTGCTAAATGCCGCAGGTCTGTGTGAGAATTCTAACCCCGCTTTATCTCACATCTTGTACCACACGGCCGCAGTGCAGGGCTAACGGTGTACAAAAAACGAGAACCTCTGACATTAGACACTGGAATTGCATCAGAGCTCGGTGCTTCGACGTGGGAAGTTTACCTATAGATGATAGTTGCAGCTACGATAGATCGATTGTATGGAGACGGCTTTGTTCCATAAATATTCTTCTCGTTTCAACATCTCGGAATTTATTTGTTTAACAGGTGTATTGTCGGAGTTTCGCTCTATTGTGGGAAATACTACGTCTATTGTATTAAAATTTTTCGCATTTTCAAACATTTATCGATTCGAATGTTTTGTTTATTTATATAAAAATTCTTTTATTCACTTTGAGTTGTATTTACTAAAATTGTCCGTCAAATAATCGATGTAGATTAAACTTCAAAAATCTATACATAAACGGAATAAAAAATTTATAAATATAAAAACTAGTCTACTTATTTTTTCCTTTCTTAATTCTTAACTTTTAACCATAAATATACAAAAATTAATTTAAATACTATTTAACATATTTTACAAACATAAATACTATTTTTTTTTCAATACAAAATAATTGCTTTTCCTCATTAAAATACAATTTAAATAATATTGTACATAATGAGCACTTGTAATACATATCATGGTCAAAATGACAACACAAACAGGTTCTGTCTACGACACTATGTTATCTTGGGTGCAAATTTCAACCTAGATCGTTCGCGTTTTAATTTTCATACAACAAAAGGTATAAGGATACTGTTAACTAGATCAATATTAAAACCCGTTAATATATCTTAACGATTACTGACAGTTTCCACTGTGTTAAGATCTGTAAAGAAACATGTTGTCTCTATAATTTCCATCTTACTAATATTATAAATGCGAATGTTAAGATGGATAGATTTTTGTTTGATGGTATCTCCAAAACGGCGGAACGGATCTCGATGAAATTATGCATGCATAGAGTCAGGAAGAACACATAGGGTACTATTTTTTTTTTATTTCAAGGGGACGGAGTCTCGAGCGGCATTTTAGGAATGATTTTTAAATTTTTCTTGCTGAAAAGAATTTCTGTGTCTAAAGTGTTTATCAGAATAAGTAATATTTATGTTATTCTAATGGGTTTATCTCGTCACAAATAATTCAATAATACGTCAACTAAAATAGCTTTAAATGTCACGGATATTTTTATTGACATTTTTACTCAATTTAAAATTTTACATGACGAGAATATGTTGTTTTTTTCATAAACACGCGACCTTAATAGTTTGTTGATTTAAGGAAATAATCTTAAAAAGTGCTTTTAATTTTTTATCTTAATTTCGTGCTTCATTTTTATTTCATTTATTTTTTTATCTAAATTACTTTAACGAATTAAAATCAGGGATACCAAATCCGTTCCTGAATCACTGGATATATTTTGATAAAACTTCAATGGAGAGGACTAAACACGCAAGTAATTTTCAGTACATAATAGCGTTTTCCTAGATAACTAAAGCAACTAATCTTTAGTGCTCATTAAATAAGTCTAGACTCCATACCCGCGAGCTCTGGCCCGCGCAGACATTTGTCAGCCAAAATGCCAAGCTGATTCGGTGCGAACCTACGGACCGCTATAAATGAAGCGTACGCAAACTCTCTTGATACTTGTAGCTAGTGTAACATTTGTTATTAATCCATTATTGTGTTCTGACAATTTATACAACTTGTTGAATTAGTCAAAATGTCATACTTTATTATACGGTGTTGGATGAATCAGAATAACACGTGTCTTTTAAACTTAATTGGAATAAATTTGTTCTTTGCGCTGTTAGAATAAACACGAAACTAACTCGAAACATATTGTTGCGATGGGATGATCACACAACTTGGCCATTACCGTACGTGGTTAAGACAACGAAATTAGCCGCGGAAAATTCTCTGTCTATCTAAGAACTAGTTCGATTAAAAGACGTACCTATATTCGTTTATTTAGTGTGCCAAAAAATTTATACCAGTAGTAGATCCCAACAATTTTTTTTAAAAAGTTCGTCTTATAAATGTTGTTGTTATTAAAACCGTTAGTTAATTAAAAGTATCAAAATATATCAAGCTTGGTATATTTTAAGGCACACATTTACCGACAAAGCCGTTCAACGAGGCACCTCACTACCGACCATTCATTACGCGGGCTTCGCATTGCCTCCATCAACCGCCGCGATGCAGACACGACACTAACTAAAATACAAATACGATAACTTTTCATCCATTTTTCTCCATCCCGACACACAATTTTTCATCTCTGACATCTGTCAGTTTTGCGCGCCATTTCCACGAACTTTATTTTTCTAAAACTTTTTTGTCTGTGCTGGTTTTTTGTGAATGCTGCCAGGGTTAATAAAGCCTTCCGGTGGATATTAAAAGGTGAGTTGCATTTGTTTTTTTTTGTTTGACTTTTATTGAAATTGAACTCATCCATTTAGACTACACAGTTTTTTTACTGAAATAAATCATATTATTTGTAAATTAAATTATTTCAAGTATTTATACATATTCATTGTTAAATAAATTCATAAGAAGTATTTTTTTTTTCATCGATGTTTATTATCTTTTTAAAATAATGCACGAGAGAAAATAATAAGTTGTAGTAAACATAGATTAAATAAAGTTTCAGTCGAGGTAATATTTTCCTTTCTATCAACTCATAACTTTTAACAATGTTACGTAGAGGAACTGACCTATAGCGCAGTTTTCACGAAACTTTTTCAAATTGAAATGCAGCACAAGAGTTTTTTAAATTTCATTTTTATAACAAACTAGCTATCGCACGCGATTCCGTCTGCATGTTTTAAAAAAAATTGGGTTTTAATATTAGCCTATGTCACCGAGGGATAGGCAGCTTCCCAACAGAATTTTTCAAATCGGTTCAGACATTTCGGAGCCTATTTAATACCAAACAAACAAAGTAACAAATCTTTCCTCTTTATAATGTTTATTAATATTTATTTGATTTTAAAAAATATTTCATACATAAAATGTAGAAATTCATAAAGAATTCTAATGTAATAATTGTTCCAGATTTAACGTTTTTCTACTCTTTGTTATAGTAATAACAAAAAGAGCCTTTCCTTCTGTCTTAATGAAATGAGAAGTTCTTTTAATTGTTATTTATAAGCATCGTTTCCACTGATGTAACATCTGTACGAAACATATTATTATCTCTGTTATTTACAAATAGATTTTTTTTTTAATTAAAATATTAGCAAATTTTTGTTAATTTACTAATATTTCTTGTACCATTCCAAGTAAGCTCTAGGCTTGTGCTAGGATATGGTTTACGACAATAGTCGAATGGCGGGAATCGAACCCCCGACCTCGTGATCGGAAATCCGTATCCTTAACCACTAGGCTATTGGCGAATGACAGAGAAGACTGTTGATTGTACATATTTTTATACACTAATAACTAAAACAAGACAATTATTGTACACAATACTAAGAGAACAAGTATTTGTTACTTGCAAAGCATCTAAAGCTCATAAAATTAACGAAACTGTACGTTGATACTTTAGCTTAACTACTTACTTAACCATATGACATTTAACTTAAGTAGAACGCGAGTAAATTTATACTAACAAAACATGGTATTCGCTAAGTTTGAAGTAACATTTAGATAGGAACATAATCATCAAACATGTATCGATAAATACATAGAGAACTGTAATCCACGGCATGTTACCACTAAGTAATATGTACAGTTTAAAACCTCTATGTGAAGTGTCATTTATATGTCCTCACTGAGGGGCTCGGAGATTACCCTGAGTTATGGGTGACAAGGCCATCGTCATCCACGCTGGCCAAATGCATATCTTTGAATTTCTTCGCAGATATCTGCACATGTGTGCAAACTGCATCACGATGTTTTCCTTCGCCGTAAGAACGACGTATAAATGTACATAGGTAATCGAAAATCGAAAAACACATACATGACGGAATTTGAAATAAGGACATGCTGTTTTTAAGTCAAGGGTTTAACCCATGAGCCACCGACACTAAAATTCTAATGTCCCTCTATAAATTCGTCCAGTTAAAGTTAGTCGATCTGATGATAGTGCCACTTTTTTCACGTAGTAAAAAAGTACAAGATGCTGGAATTCCATTGTTGTTAATATATGACGAGCCACCGGAAATACTTATGCACAAGGCAACTCTTCGTGTCTTATCAGTAAGCGTGGAAGCCTTCCCGGAACCCGTATAATTCAAGCGGACAGGCCATTTGCTGGTCCAAATAAGATAGCGCACGCGTCGCTGAATAATCATTTTATGTCACTGACTCATCTTAATTGGGTATGAAACGTCTCGGAACATGTCAGCTCAAGGATAATATGATTAAAAAATCATTGATTTAATAACAGGAATGGTAATTTTTCTCTCTAAATCGAGTTTCTCGCTCACTGACCGTCGGAACCGGACAATGACTCTCGCTTATAGAGTATTCTTATCCAGGGTCGAGTATAGAGTTTACTTTAATTTTTTTTTACATAAAGTGGCAAACGAGCTAGCGGCCACCTGATATCGCTTCCCATAGGCATCCGCAATTGCAGATGCTTTGCCTACCTTTAATCGACGGATGAAGGAACGCACAGATAGATAATGTTTTCCCTTCCCATGCTCCTCATCTGGAAAATCCACTTCTACTTCGCATATTTTACATATACTAAATAGGGTGGGAAGTGAAAGAGGATTAAAATTAGGTCTCCATCACACTCATCGGACATAAACGCAGAATGTCATCCACTTGACGCATGTCTTCTGTGTTCGTGGTATTCGTGCGAAGATGTTAAAGCGTGCGTTTAGACCGCCAGGTTCCATCCAGCGTTGTGGAATGGTCTGTTCTCGGCGGTATTTCCAAACCGCTACGACTTAGGATCCTTCAAGAAGCGTGCTTATCACCATCTCAAAGGCCGGCAACGCATCTGCGGCTATTGCTGATGTCCATGGGCGTCGTTGAACACCTCGGTGTTCCCGCTGCTCGTTTGCTCCCTTTTGTTATAAAAAAAAGCGGGCTCAATCACTGTTTAATTGTAATGCTGATAATTATTACGTCTTATAAACTATTAAAATAATTAAATTTTCAAAACAAATTATAACTGCATCTTAACTAGGTCTATATAATTCCAGGAGCCCAATTTTTTGTATCATTTCAGACATGCAATTTGCACAATAGAGTGTTGGACGAAATAAAAACTTCTATAATTGTTTCTTAATAATAGTCTATTAAGTTTTGTGCGATACAGACATAAAAAATAAGCGAACCATTCACTGCAATCTGTTACAAGAAGACAATGTAGCCAACAATTTATTAGATACTAGCTGTCGCCCGCAACTCCGTCCGAGACATATACGATAAAAAAAAAACTTAAGCAGTAGCCTATATGTTCTTCCGATAATTGGCATACATGCCGCTGTATAAAAAAAATTAAATGAACATTTGCTTTTTCGTATTTCATTTCATAGTGATTGATAATTCAATTTATACAAGATGACATATCTGACAGAAGATACATCTCCGAGAGACACGCGCGACTTCCACGTAATTCAATAACACGTACAAAGATTAGTTAAGCTACTTTTTACCTAACTTACGCTTACGTGCTAGTCATTTTTTTACATTTTTTCAAATCAATAGAATGTTTTATTTGCTTTCGATTCAAATTTCTGAAACTGCGAACGCTACTATGTTCGATTTTTCGTTATGACTAATTTTAATATGATTTCATAACCTGATCTTTGACAAGAAAATCAAAGATTATAAAATTCATATTTTCGTTTAATTATCAAATAAATTAACATCTACGAAATAAATGAAGTAATATAGTCGACACTTTTCTCTTCCCGATACAATATCTCCCCAATTTAAATTAAATAGGTCCCGTTCGATCCCGGACGTACGCACACATCGACATCGTATCGTAAACACGCACACATTATCAAAGCCGTACATCACGGCAGGGTCGCTGTAAATTATGCCAATAAATGAGACTTTTAATTTCAAAACCATTAGCCACAAATTTGGCGATCGGCGCCTTTGCGATATTTATTTATTAGAAAAATTTTGAGTTTTTTAAACCTATAACTTAAGATAGCTGACTAGACTGATATGACAAATCATACAAAGCAAACTAAAATCCGCTGCGGGCCGTGCGTGCGATACGTCCGGCGCGGACAACTGAACACGTTATTTTAATATACGATAAGTACCACTAAAATGCGTACTATTTAACTACGTGATAGCATAAAACATTAATTCCAACCTTGCTCCGATCCTGCGCAATAACAGGAAGGTTCGTCTGCAGTGTCAAGGACGAAAGATGTATTTCAAAAACAAAAGACAATCTTTTAAATATAAGTTATGGAATCAATCACATCCTTTACGATTTATATTGACAATACTGATAGGATGTGACAATTATATGTTATAATATAATAACATAAAATTATAGAACCCGTTGTTTAAATTACCTTCGAAAAATATACATCTAAATGAGTCGTTTCATCATCATCATCAGCTCACTATACGTACCCAATCATGGGCTCGAAGCCTACCCTATGTCAAAGGTGAATAGGCCATAGTCAACCACGCTAGCCCACTTCGAGTTGATTGACTTCACACATATCTTGAAATTTCTTCGCAAATATGTGCAGGTTGGATTATGATCCGACCGGTATGTGCGAAGAGTATTAACATGTGCCCACACCCCGGTAAACAGTGAGTCGAGGGAACCAGAGGGGGTTTAGTAAGTAGGCTCCATGTCCCTTTGGGGATGTGGAGAGAGTCCCACATAACCGGAGTGGCTTTCCCCGAGGCACCCGGTATGCGTAACGCATTCCCCCTCTTAAAAAAAGGTTGGATTATGATGTTTTACTTCGTAGTCAAAATGTGGCATATTTGTACATATGTAAATAGTAAATCAAAAAACATATTGCTACATTGGGATTCGAACCCAGGACCTACAGTTTACATGTCAAGTATCCCCTGACCCACCAATGCATTTCATCTGCAATTTTTCATTCTGCATATTGCATTATCAACCAATTTCTTAACTGTCATTATCAAAACTACATGTAATAAAGCTTTTTGTACTTTCAACAATTTAATTAAACAATATTAATACGTTGGAATATTTCATTTATCGTTTATTTGGTAAAGTTTACTTAATCTGGAATTTCATGGCCCCATGTGCAGAAGGTTGACACAAATATATATTTATATGATATTTAATTTATTGTCAAATTAATCTCATATCATTTTACGATTGTGTCTTAATGGAGCTGAACATTCAGAACACAAAATTGCAACATTTAAATAACTTTCGCAACGACTTCCATTAATAATTTAAGTATTATTTAACAATATTACCTATT